TTAAAAATAAAAAATATGACACCTTTTATATTGTGAATCTTGCCCGAAAATGAAATCCTTAACACAATTATAGTGAAATGTTTCGTAATTGTTGCTTTTTTCTAAGCGATATTGAGATATTAGTGAATTTTATGTTATAGGTATGGTTAACGGCAAAATATATGTTATTTCATACAAAGGGTTAATCTCACTTTATAAGAACGATGTACAATGCAGGCCCGTACACAGAACATTTGAAAGAAGGCTCTAATTTGTGAGACCAAAAGCTAACACGTATTGTACTAAGCACAATCAGCATGCAAAACATATTAATGCTAATGGTGTCTGGAGGCATGCGACTATTTCAAGCTAAAAATGCTAATGCTTCATCAGAATGATATAGACTATGTAGAAAACGTTAAATACCATAAGCAGATGCACTATAATTATAAAAGCATATTTTTCATATCACAAAAATAGGGGTTCGACCTAGCCTCCTCGAACTCCCCCTTCCCTGCGTACGTCCGTGCAATGCTAAAACACTGGGGAAGTATGTTTTCAACATGTTAACGCTGATATATGGTTTTCATAAATGGTGTAATCCTTTTCAATCTAATTTATAGCTTTGCTGGATAGATTGAAGGCAACCTGCTACCGAATCATTTTCAAACATCGTGTTATTTCATTATTGTCCTTGCATTTCTCTGACAAGAGGCCAATTCCTAGAGATCTATCTAGAAGTTACTATTTTTAATGTTAATATAAGCTACAGTTTTAATGTACTAATTTAAAAGTTAACTATAGAGAGCTGTGGGTCTTAATGATGACGCTAATATCAAGAGGCAATTCCTAGAGATCTATCTAGAAGTTACTATTTTTAATGTTAATATAAGCTACAGTTTTAATGTACTAATTTAAAAGTTAACTATAGAGAGCTGTGGGTCTTAATGATAACGCTAATATCAAGAGGCAATTCCTAGAGATCTATCTAGAAGTTACTATTTTTAATGTTAATATAAGCTACAGTTTTAA